TGCGAGGACGTAATCGGCTGCGGCGCCGTCCCGGGTGTGACTGATCAGACCGAAGACGGCGTCCTCGATTTTGAACTTTGGGCCCGATGGGTGCCAGTGATCTTCATCAGGGGTGCTGATAACATTGCCGCAGAAGTTGTGGAGGGGGATCTGAGGGATGGACATTCTCGGGTTGAGCACCTTCGCCAGTCGCAGCTCGTCATGCGAGAAGGCAGCCGTTTGGACTTTGATGAGGTATTGGCTCGGTGACGGCATGGGTGTGGGGAAGTCGGTATCGAAGATCAGGCCTGGCTCGGGGCAATCCACAGCTGTCACGTCGTGGCTGTGAGTGTCGCTCAGGCTGTAGTAAAGGGCCCTCATCGTACTCGGGACGAATGTTTGTTCATCCATATCAACTTGCGCTGGCTTTGCTGGCTTCATGGTGAAAAGAAATGCTGTATTTAGGCAAATCTTCCGTTGAGTTCAAAATAGCTATTCATTTACTGTATCTCTTGATAGTAGAAAATGCTTCCTCTAGGTCAATGAGCATGCGAGGAAGTTGTAGGTGTCGGAAATGTCACAGAGCCATGCAACACAGGCAGCTCTGGTAAATTCTAAATTCCCTTCGGGAAACAAACGCCCTGTGATGGGCGCTAATTTACAGCAGAAAATTTGACTTTTTGATAACCAGAAACAATAAATCTGCTGGCAGCGCTGCGGAGCAAGACTGCATCGGACTGTATAGACGTCGATGATGCGGATGCCCTCATGTTGACGTAACTGTGCTTATATCAGCGACTCTACCAGCAGTTATCGGATAACTGTTTGCCATACCTCTTCTAAGAGTGACAGAAGAGCCTGGGCATTAGCCATGGATTCTGCACACAATATTGTGGACGGGTTCTGGTGCACCAATCGCGCTGTTGTTCCTTCTCTACCGCGAGCAACCTATAGGATCGACCGAGAAAGTCGGTCCACAACTTGATATACTTCTTCGGGTTCTTCAAATACTGTCCATACACTTTCCGGGACCCCTTTGAAAGCAGTCCTAAATCGTTCTGGAGAATTCTTCCCTTCCAAGTGCGGGACATCTGTGACTTTACGGATCAGAATCGCCTTCACCCAGGTTGGGTGCCGTCTGTAGATTTCTGCGTAAGCCTCTGGATCCGTCTGCGTAGAGTCACCAATGCAGAGTACTTGTCTCTTCGGAAAAGATCGGTACAACTTTTCCATGTTGTTCACTTTATACTCCATGGTGTATGTAGTAAAGGATCGAATCAACGAACCGACATCCATCCAGGAAGACTCCCGGAGCATCAGTGTGCCTGGAGTGAACCAGGTATAGATGAACTCGCGGAGAAACGGATACAGATTGTATGGGGACGCTGATAGATAGAACCAGGTTGGTACTAGTTGTCTCTGTGTGTGGAAGTAGAATTGAGGCATTCCTCGAATGGGACGCGCTGTCTCGACAAAAGTGGTCCGTAAGATGCCAGTGGGTTCTGAAGTCATTGTATACTTGATAGTGTCATCTATGTCGGAAATCAGAAGCCAGCCTTCCGGATCAGCGAAGAGCGTGTCCATGGACACTTCGCCCTCCCAACCCCGAAGGTACGACCGTATCCTGGTGCCGTCTGCAAGATGGCGCGAACCCAGATTCACGGTCTGGCTGCAAATACCGTTGCTGTCCGTGGGACCAATTTGATGGAGCTGTATGGAGTCGTCTGACAACGGGATCTCGATGACCATCGTATGTGCAGGTGCTGTCTGGTACAAGAATGGCCGCAGTCGACGGGCTATCTGATGACGGGTCTCTCGCTCAGTGCCTATCTCGCCATCGAGACCAATGAGATCCGCTATCGTTGCGACAAACTTGCTGATATCTTTCCGACTGTCCTTTTCAAACACGCAGGCGACAACTTCAACACGCCATGCCGGACGTCCTTGCCCAAGGGCTTTGGGAGTGACACGCTGATAAGCTGTATTATCAAACAGCCACACTGTATGCTGGCGAGCATTTGCTATCTGTAATGAAGCCTGCTTCCAGAGGATAGAGCTGATAAATTTCAGCATCTTGAACTTCCTCTTCGTCTTAGAGCGGGGTTTGTGTTGTCGACTTTCGACCATCAGGGGTCTCTCCCCTGCTGTAACAGAACTCATCGTTGCGGCGCTTTGCTTGACTCAACTTCTGACAGCTACAGGTAGGGCTTCGAGGCAAACATTCGGCGAAAAGGGAAACACAAGCCACAAGAGATGGATTTATATAGAGAAATGAATGGTTCACAATAACCACACAGCCTAGCAAGAAACGCAAAGAGTCATAAGGCTTTCTCCGAACTCAGCTGGCGATTTTGGGTTTATATATCATTTGGGGACTTAGTCCTCCTGACCTCTGAGCAGAATCCATCATATCGAACATCAAGTCACTGGCAATGACTTTTCTGGAAGCACATGTGGTAATGATCACAAGAGTTCCCATTGTTTGACTGGCCAGAGGAGCAAGACGAGATGGTTGACTATCCGTCTGTAGTAACCTTCGATTTTGATCGACGTTCGTGAAGAGCTCTTGGCGTCAGGGGCACACGATGTCAGCCTGGTGATGCTTGTGACCAACCAGTATCAGCCGTCTCTTCTCCGCGCCTGACCTCGATGATTGACTCAATCATCGGATCATCATCAAATCAGAGCTTCTGGTGAAAAGCAACAGAAGGCTACGGCAGTTGGAAAGACGTAAACGCGAAGGCGATCATACTCGTCATCAATAGCCATTTATGCGACCAAATACGGGCCACTGTATTTCTTCAGGAGGTGCTTGTGGCTGCTAAGGAAACGAATAGAAAGAAAAAGACATGAGATTAACTGCGTGAGTGGCACAGCCTCCAAGTTGACTACGGCACACGGGGGGCAATTAAAGAGTCCTCGCTGGCCTGAGAGCAATAATCAAGATGAGTCAGTGTGTCTTTCTTTCATCACATTGAAGGACGCCTGATTTGAGACAACAGATCTGCTCTCAATATCAGTCAGAAATTCTGAACCCTTGACCACGTCAAGGTTATTTGATAATGTGCTGCGATGTGGTGGTGGTAAGAAGAGAGATCAACAACAATAATCGGCTGCAAAGGAGACAAGGGGGAATTTCTGCTCAGCATCAACCCTTGAATCTGCCCCTTCTTAGCAAATTATCGCTATTCCTTTCACATTTCCCCTCTCTTATGATGGCCTCAGCTCTACTGGGTTTAGATGTGCCCTTGCTTCTCTCAATTTGACCGATGATCAGATCTCTCGCTTTGCTTCGGGTTTCAGGGAATGTGAGACTCAGCTTCACTGACGATTCGAAACAAGACGATATTCCCACGAGGATATTGCCCTTGCGTATGTTTCTTTTCAAACAGAGACAGGACGCCTTGGTGCCATCTGATGATGACATTGGCATCCCTTATATTGACCAAAGCGCTCGAGTCCTATCCGATGGTCTTCAATATGGGGATCCCTAGCCTTATAAATAACCTCTTGCTCGATGCTGATATTCTAGCTGTACATTCACGAGATCCATACTGTGACTTGACTTCCAAACCATCACACCATGCAGCTAACCATTAGAGAGATGCCTTATACCAGGACTCCTCAGCCGCGTTATACTTCAAAGAGGTACACATCAAAGTACGATAACACGCGTGAGCTCCCAAGCTATGCCTCAGCCAACCCTTTCATATACCGAACATCCGACCATTCATTCACCCACTCGTGCGAAACTCATCAACTTGCTACTTGTGCGCGTTGTCATTCTGTCCATGGTCACTGCTGGAGAGAGACATTGCCGTCCACCATGTCTCATCGGCGACCACCCAATACCGCTTATCTGGCCGTACCGAGTGTCTGAGGAACCTCTGTCGACTTACCGGCAATCTGAGGCGGTCTACCTTTTTCATTGACTCGAGTGGGCTGATTGCGGACTGTTGAACATGAAATACAGAACAGGATGGAAAGAGCGGACATCTCTCAACGCGCGTATGGGCGGATTCTGAGCGAAAGATGAATAAACAGCCACAATTATATTGTGCTTTCATGCTGCTGTCAACATTAGCGGTCAAGGTGGATTGGCGACCTTGTCGAATGCTCCAGGCTGATAGCCCATTTGTGTACATAACTTGATTTGGGCTGGGATCAGATCAAGGATCTCCATTACTTTTCTTCTAGTCCATCATTCACGGATAATGTCCATATATATCAGATAACCAAAAATTGGAAACATTTGCATAGATTGAGCAGCCGACTATCTTTATCATTAGACGAAATTCCACTATGATGGTTAGATCACGTGAACCACAGGGCTGAATGGTTGCTTATCCCTGTTCGCGTCTGGAGATCTAGCAAAGTTCTTCGCCATAATATACCTCTAACAAAATCAAATTGAGTGTCTGAGCTGCTGCTAGTAACGATATGAAGGTACAGCTTTAAAAAAGGTACTCAAGCAGAATGGCCGAAGCTTGACTCCAATGGCTTACAGGCGGGTAGGGGCCGTTTAGCATCAGCAGCCGAGCAGTCCATTGCAGTGAATTGAAAGAATCCTAAGGTCCAGCTATATCTACTAGTTTGCAGCTTAGTTTGATATAGTCAAAAGTCTTCTCGCCCACCATATTGATAACTTTACCACGTCAGTCCACAAGCTGGGCCGGAAAGCGGCCAAGTCTACGAAGAAGAGGCTATGGCTCCTGCTATGTCATTCTCTATGGGACCATCTTGGGTTCATGAGAGCCCATTCTGCACCGTGGAGCGAGACGCAAGACACGAGAGGGGCGCACCCTCGTTGAAAGAGTGTGCAATGGAGCAGCTTCTGTCTGATCAGAGGGATTTGACGCCCGAGTTGTTTCACCATATTCCATGGCGTATGGCAAGCAGACTGTGGGATCACCTTGGTAAACGGTGAGTGAAGACCTAGTGCAGTCCTCCCTGAGATATGCTGTGCTGTAAACAATGCTGAGTCCAATGCAACGGTCTTCAGCCAGAGAAGGACCTTGTACATGTGGAAATTATTTGCAACAGTGTACCCCGCCCAATTTCGGGATGTTGCGAAATACCGATCCATGAAAGTCAAGTGGCCCGAGATGCCATTGCGAGAATACTGGAGCATAGTCAAGAGCGATTCTCTCAGTTGGCGCTTGGTCTTGACTCTGACTTCCTCGTTTGGGCGGGTACCAGAGCTTGTGGAGATTGCTAATATCAAGAATCTCGTTGCGCTGGAGATCGCCACACCACTGCAGGTAATGCCGATGTCAGACAGCTCGGAGCTACGTATGGCGGGTCTGAACGATCGAATCGCACGAACGTGGAGTGAGCTGGCGGAGACGTCAGGAGCATTTACCCACTTCCGCGTCCTCAGATTGTATAGTCAGCCAGACCTGTCACCGGTGGGGATACGGTACCTCAGTACTCTTCCAGGCTTGTGTCTAATAATCGCCCATGGGTGCCCCAATCTCAAATCCTGCCTCCAAGGCGAAAGCCTGGACAAAGATCGGTGGGGGGTGACAGCAATCCCACAGTTTGTGGTCAAAGATTCCAACCAATTGGAAGTATCAGAGCCTCTAACACTCTATGAATGCTATCAGAAGAGCTTTCATGCCAGCAGTGAGGGACACGCGATAGAAGAGGGCACTCTACGAGGCACCCCTGTTTTGGACTTTCGAGTCGTACCCGAAGGCAGTCAGGGTCTGGGCAGGAGAGGCAACAATTCTTCTACGATATACTTCCAGCGCCGAACCGCGTCTGGGTCTAGACCACCAGAGCCTCCACTAAAGAAAGTGAAGATGGCAGACCAGTCGCCAGAACAGACGTCACGGCGGAGAGCTGGATCCAGAAAACCAGTGATGAGAAAGGGAAACCCGAGAGATATCGGTGATGTCTTAGGTGACTTTCTTTGATCTCTTTAATTTCGCACGAATGCAAGGTGCCTGAAACTGGCAGCAGATGGATTTATTCGACAACAGTTCTAACAGTCTACCTACGGCCTGGTCTTTCTCTCTATGATTCGGCAGTCAGGCCAGGATTGCCTCAGGCGTGCAGCATGTTGCATGATCGGTCTCGTTTGAGAAGGTAAATTTCAGGTATGGTAATGACGCTGCAATGACACCAATACCTGCAGCTGATTGGTCCGTTGCCGATGCCGAGCCAAACACCGCTGATTCCCCCGCACCGCCCCGTGATTGGCACCGCCTCAAGGAAGCTGAGGTGCTTGTCCACAGCGATCTCGCTGGTGAAGCCATTTCAGTTGGCTAAACGAGAAACAGAAGTGCATCCTGAGCGTCTCTTTTAGGTAATAATAAGTGAGACTGTTCTCTTTGATCTTTTCTCCGAGACCGAACTTGTCATATCCCGCTTATAACCTTCCGGGAGGGTCAGCTCCCCCGCGGATTAGCCCCCTTCCCCGCGCTCAGCCATGGCGGACCATCAGAATGTTGAAGCCGTGGCAGACCATTCCAATGGGTCAGCGGTTGCATCGCCGCGATCTAGTACCGATTCGCGTTCTCCATCAACGCGTAGCCAGTCCCTTTTACTCAATCACTCGAATCATCAGCATCGCCAGAGCTTCAGCGAGAGTCTCCGCGCTGCACCTGGTTCTCCGCGCACACGCCGACAGCCGTCCTTCACCCAGGCAGCGATTCAGAGTCTGATCGATAACCCGCCTGCTCCTAAGGATGTGAACCCCGCGTTTGCAGGCCGAGATTGGAGAGAAATCTCGATTGGGGAGCTTGTCAGGCCGGATGATTTGAGGTTTGTCGAGCTGGATACTGGAATTGAGGAAGCAACGAATGTAATTGCCTGGTCTCGCATTTAAGTCTTGATCTATGGTTTGCTAATGTTTGAATACCTACAGACACTGATCGATTCCAACGCCCCGGTGCTGTTGATTCGGGAGGCCCCAGAACACCAAACGGCCGTGGGCACTTTTGATTATTCGGATCTGAATGCATACCTTCTACTTGCGGCGGGACTGACGCAGCCCAATGAAGAACTTCGCGAATCGTATGAAGAACTGGCAAGAAAGGCCAGGGACGAGCACAAGATACCGTTGAAAGACGTGAAGGAGCTGAGCCGCAGTGAGCCACTGACCACACTCCCCGCATCGGCCAACTTGAGGACGGCTGTCGAGACGTTTGGCGGCGGGGTTCACCGCGTGGTCGTGGTGGATGAACGCAAGGACGGCGAAGTGGTGGGAATCGTCAGTCAATTCCGGCTGGTCAAGTTTCTGTGGGAGAATGGTCGCAGCTTTCCCGTCATCGATCAGTTGTACCCTCAGTACCTGCGTGATTTGGGCATCGGGTCTCGCGAGGTGATCTGCATCAAGTGAGTGTTCCTGCTTGCGTCTGCTTTGCGTCTGAGAGCATATCTGACGGAGATTCAGTGGTGACAAGCAGCTTTGCGAAGCCCTGCAAATCATGAACAGCGAAGGCATCTCGTCCATTGCTGTGGTAGATAACCATTTCAACGTGGTGGGCAACATCTCTACGACGGATGTCAAGGTAATGCAATTGATTTCCCCAGCAGATCCTCAGCTGGCTAAAAGAAAGGTTGAATAGCTCCTCACGAGATCGTCGTCGCTGCCTCTGCTCCACAACACCTGCATCCATTTCATCTCCGTGATCCTATCCGCAAGGGGCCTCTTGGAGGGCAAAGACTCGTTTCCTGTGTTCTATGTGAACCCTGGCTCGACTCTGGCGCACACGGTAGCCAAAATGGTGGCCACCAAATCTCATCGGTGAGTGCTATATTGCTAGCTCAAACTATTTGGCCTGCAGTTAACCCAGGATAATGTAGATTATGGGTCACTGATCCCCTGTCACCCTCGTCGTCGGGGCCACCGACACCGTCTCACTCGAGCGTTCAGCTTCCGTTGGCGGCCAGCACCAACCCGACGCAGTCACCGCCGGTATCACCTCCCACAACCACGGCCAATGTACCGGCTCCCAACTACAGCACTCCTCATCTTCCTAGTCCGCCTCAGCCATTCATGAGTGCGGCATCACTCACCCATCCTGTTGCGTCGGTGGGAATGCCCCACGCAGTGGCGCCGTCGATACCCGCGTCTGCATTACCGGGCGCCCGACTGTCCGGTCGCCTCGTGGGGGTGGTGAGCTTGACCGATATTCTGAACCTGCACGCGCGGGCCAGCGGATTGAGCCCTGCTGATCCTGCCGAGAGCCGCAGTCGCCGGCGACGGAGCAGCAGCTCGAGCGTTAGTGCGCGCAAAAGCGGGGATATCGGACGCGAGCTGTTCAGCCGGCGGGAATAGTCTGTTATCCCCCTGGTATTTGATGTGGTCCTCAATTTCCTTGTTCATTCCCACTGTCCTTATCAGCTAGTCAGGGATATTGTTTAGACACGAGATAGCGAGGGATTACGATAGCTATGATAGCATTGGTTACACGAATCAGAGTTGATTTAAGGACCAGAACTTTGAAGCAGCCAAAGCCAATGTCCAACGGGGGGTTGGAATTTGAATCAGCGTCTTTCGATTGGACACTGAAGAGTTGCTTTTTCAAACTTTAACTCGCTGTCGGCGTACGGGGAACACTTCTAGCTACCTTAGTTTACCACAATCCTACGCATCAGGTGGCGCGCGATCTCCTCACCCATTGGTTCCGCAATCTGCTCAATCGCCCCATCTCCCCCGGAACTGACCAGCCCGGCCCTGCGTCTGTGCAATCGCTCCACCAACCATTGTCCCTGTTGCGAGCACGCTCACCTCTGGCCGTTCTAGCAGTATCCGTAGTCTGGTGATATCGATACCCTGAGGCGATAGTCAGGCGGCTTCGGCCGCCTGCCAACGCCAACGGCCCCAATAATAAGATATGATAAGAATGGACTTGGGCTTAGAGTCGGAGCAACTCCGTGCTGATGCTCTTGCCTAACTGAGGGAACCAGTTGGTAGTGTACTTATGACGGTACCCGCCCCTACACTAAGGTAGCGGAGGGTGGCAACAGGCAACAGGGCAACTGGTGAGCGTACGCCGACGATGGCCGTGGTGGTGTGGATTCGACTCCATGGGGCTGGGCCGGACCTGATCGCCCTGGATTTCATCTTCGTATTTGGTCCTGGTCCTTACTCGTTCGCCAACGAGTTCCAGGGCGAATTCTTTCCCTAATTGAGGAAGTGGTCAGAGATGAGAAAGTTAGGCCCGTACGGAGTATGGTTGCGTTACTGGGCCAACTCAAAACTGAAGAAAGTAAGTTCGGGATTGAGTGTGCAACGCCCTAAGTTCTGAGCTGAGCTCTGAACTCTGAACTCTGAAATCCGTTCTGACCATGGACTCGTGCACTGATTGGATCTGGGCCTGAGTTAGGACTTCACGAGAGTTTGGGGTAGGGTTGCTGTGAAGTGTGGACGAAGAGGATGATCAACGCTGATTCGAAAGCTTTACCACTAAACCAGATGGAGTCAAGTCTCATTCCTGAGTAGGTAAGGTGCCTGGCCCACTCACTACACGGAACTTCTTCTGTGATGCGAGCCTAACTATCAAGGAATTGCTCTTTTGAGTAATGAGGAGTATGACTGAGCCCAGGGCTAACCCCTATAAGCAACTGACGCGAAATTATTACTGTGGAGAGCAAAGTAGCATAGTCTCATACCTAGTCAACTCTTTCCCCATACTTGGTCCCTAATTATTGAGCGCAGTGGTTGTCTAATGGACACTTGCACCATGAGAGAACTTCCAGGGAAACCAAGAATAAGGCATCAGTTAGGCATCAACTCCAGTTCTCCAATGATAGCCGAAAACAGTTGCCCGATCGTGGTCTGTGCGTAAGCTCTAGTGGGGCGGTACAACTTACTTTGTACCATAGTTGCGCGTTGCAACTGACAAAACACTTGCAAGTAGCTCACTTGATCTCTAATAGATACTGAGTAACAACTGATAAGTGATGTTGATTTATCTATGCACGTGTGGACTCATTTATTCTATCCGTAGGATAGTGCTGCATATGCATATGCAAGATCATATGCACCTAACCTTAAGCGCAGTTACACGTTCAAGTTGCAAGTGTAACTGAGGAGTACTAACTCCATATTCCACAGTGAGGAGCCTAGATTGCACCATTCCAAATCAGGAGTGGCAATCCACCCTGTGCAGTGTCCAAAGTTTATTTCCGTTTTCGGCCCCGCTCCGCCGGACCCACTATCCTATTACAGTTAGTGCTCGCCCTAGTAACGACTCTACAGCTACAGTCCAACCCTATCTTTACTCCGTTAACTCCAAAACTTAGAGTACCTTGTGCTCCAGACAGAAAAAGGTTCAGAATCATATCATTCTAGGTACTGGACTGTCCACATGATTCAAGCGACAGGAATGGTCTGTGCGGGAGTACTGCTACTAACGATCCTTTCTGATTCACTAGCTACTTGGGGTGAGATTAGTTCTACTTCCTGCGAAATCTCCTTGCCCCTGCCCCTATCCATGAAATTATTTAGATGTCCACTTATAGTGCTATGCACTACAGCTGAAACACAAGCCCTCACTTTAAACTCTATTCGCCGCTTCTGGAATGCGGGGTCCCTCATCTTAAGGTTGCATACGCTGCTGCGTGGTTACTGTTTGCGGTGTCTTCTCCTGATTAATTGCCAAATTTCGTATGCTTGACGTGATAAGGTTACGTCTGCTCCTGTGCAGAGTTTTTCGGCTGTGCAGAATTTTCAATATGATAGAGTGTCATTTCTCATAGCCAATGTACAGTACAGTTTGAAACGCCATGACCTGGGTATTTGATCCCCCCGAAACGTCACCATAAACTTCGTGTAGTGGCCAAGTAAAGAACCGAAGTACAAGAGAACCCATAGTACAGGAGCAAGCTAGTCCAGAAAAAAAAAAGTACTTGTGGTGGTTCAAGCGGTCGCCGTGAATTCGTCCAATGCAACGTAGTCGTCAAACCCAAATGTCTCCCGCTCCTGGATCGGTGCGTCGTTGCCCAATCCCCAAGCGAAGCGGCTGAACTCATCGTAGTCAGGATCGAGTTCCTGGGGCGCAGAGAAGACAACCTCGCCCTCCTTGGTCGCTGCCTCGAGCTCCAGGTGCCCTGCGTCATGGCCCATCGAAGTGGGCGAGTGGGGCGTCCCCGGCGTTGGGCAGAGATCGGGCGTGGACAGGGTTCTGGTGGAGACCATCTCCATCTTAGGCGAGCTCGACCCTGATGCGGAAAATTGTGTTTGAGCCATGAACGGCTGCTCGGGCTCGGACCGGACTCTTGTGTGATTCGACACTCGTCCGTAGGTGGCGTCAGAGGACGACAAAGATGCAGGCACAGCGGACGGGAGACCGTGCACAGAAATCTCGGGAGCCGAAGCCATTCGGTCTCTGAACTGCCGTGTCGGGGTCCCGTTCCAGAATTGGGGATGCTGTTGCAGATGCTCGGGATATTGTTGTGGTTGGAAGCCTGCCCAAAACGGTCGAAATTGCTGGGGGCCCGCAGCCTGTTGGGGCGATGGTGGCGCCTGTTGAGCGGCAGTGGCAAGGTATGGTGGAATCTGAGTCGACGAGGAGGCTGCGACCATCTCTGGATACGACGCCTCAGGCGTCATACAGGATGACTGTGGGCTCACGTTATACGACGGGGGTGGCATGTAGTTGTGATCCATCACCATCGGACTAGTCATGGCTCCTGTCGGTGTGCTCTCGGGGAAGGAAGAACGGAGGCTGGATAGATCCAGGCTCATCTTGCGCACGCCATTCACCGGACCTTGAGGTGAATTGGCAGCACGGCGTTGTTGAATGCCGTTGCTGCGGACGGCCAGCGCCGCCAGTAGTTGTCGGTTCAGCTGCTCCTCGATGTGCAGGTTCTGCGCTTGAAGCATACGGATCCGCTTCTCTTGGTAGCGCTCGTCAACTTCCTCGTACATGGCCTCGCGTTCGACGATTTCTTTTGTAATGTGAAGGGCTTTGCCCGTCCGCTTTTTGTGCAGCATCGAGGCCCGGTTGGCCGATTCCAGACGAGCATCTAAGCTTCGATCTTTGCGTCTGGAGGCAGCGATGAAGGCTCTACTGGAAGTCAGTCTTCACTCAGCTTCAGGTAGGAGAGCAGAACAAGCATTACCTTTCTTGGTTTTCCTCTCGCGAACGAGGGATGGGCGCGACATCCAGATCGAAATCTGGCGACGCCATTGCGAAGGAGACTTGTGGGTGGTAAAGAGTAAGGAGTAAAGATTGGGTATTTCGACACGGATATATACCATCAACGGCAAGCTATATACGCAACACCTGCCTTTTGTTCAGGGGAAACAGGACTAGTATATTAGAAAGAAGAAAATGAGAGAGGAGGCGAAGGAGAAGAAATAAGTATGGAGAGGAGAGCACAGCAGAGGAGAGGAGAGGAGAGGATAAGAGGGAAGTATCCCAAGAGAAGCGACAGTTAAACTTTGGGCCTACAAGGCATCGCCCGATCCCTTCTTAGAGGGGTGGTGGTATGGTACGGCAGGCAGCTGTCAACACAGACAGAGCGAAGTCTAGAGCGAGGAGCCATGGATTTCTGGGGTATGGGAGAGTTTGGATCCTTCCCCGTCGAGGCCACCAAGGACCCTGCTGAATCTTGGTGCAAGTGGGAAGAGGAGTCTGGATGGCGCAAATGCCTGTATCCATGGATCCGACGAAGAACCCCCCCATAGCCTAGCCTAGACAGTGGACGAGCGCCTCCTCTTCTAATTTTTAGTAAGAAGTATGTAAGTGTGTACGTATGTCTGCGTGTATGCATGTACTACTTTTACTATCAGTGGTAAATAATAGGCACGGCAAGGTATGTTCTGCGTGCATACAGTGGAGTCGGTAGCTACCTATAACCTAAGTAGGTATGAGAAGCTGAGGACCGGTTTTGCTCGCCTTGTCTCAGCCTAGTGGACTGGCTTGACTCGTGCTGAAAAGATTTGTCAGACACAGAAGAGGGGTCGCCTCATCCTCTGGGCATGTTTCTGGGTTGAGGGACAGTGTTACCCCGGAACTCATTTCCCCTTGAGTAAGGCGAATCACAACAATCAGATTGAGTCCTTTTCTCCGTTGATGGGGTACTTCCTTTTGTCGGATTGTCTGCAGAAGCTGATCTCCATGTTCGAGTCTAGTCTAGACTCTAGACCAACCTGACCGACTCAACAATCCTCGATAGTGCCTTTGCATACTACCTGGAGTGTGATACTCTGTAAGTCTACACTCAGTTTCGCAGGTATGAGCGAGGCCCTTTGCTGATTGTTGACCATAAGGTACCCGCTAGTCTAGTCGTAACGGTCAAGAGCAACCAATAGTCCACCCTACTGAGCCTGCAAGATAGACGACGGACGAGCAAATTCTGAGAAATGAAAAAGAATGTGTCCAATGATTGAGGAGGAAATGCTCGCATAGTTTTCAAGGCCCTTACGGAGTATGGAGGCTAATCTTGGGAGCGATCATTCTGGAGATGGAGACGGTCCAAACTAAATAGCTGACCCACCAACGGGCAGCCCGTCAATCGTATGAAGCAAACCAGATGATGAAAACTTTTCCGGATCTGCGTCGGCTTTACACGGCTCTACCTGATGCTGCGCTGCATAACCATAAACTCACGTGACTTACGAGCGCCCCACCAGTTTCCGGATCAGGAACGAGCTTTCCCAATATGGCAGCTCGATTTGAACAGCTTCAAGACATGGATCAGTCTCTCTCCATACACGGTACCGAACCCACTCCATCTTCTATACCCTCATCCTATGAATGCACACTCTCGATGAGTCGGAGAGTCGGAATTCTCCAATGATTCCACTTCTTACTCAGAATGAAATCAGCCTAGTTGCTGTATTCGCTCCGAGCTTGTCTGAACTCTGATAATGAGTACTCAGTACATGCATACCTCTCTAGGCTACCTAGCTACGAAACTCTGCAGATCAACCGCGCAAAGAGTCTAGGTAAGAGGTAGTGTCAACCAATACCCCTCCAAGGGACCGTTAACTTGTCGTCTGAACTACATATGTACCTGCATCAGTCTCATGCATGATGATCTTAGGGCGTTACGCTATCCAGGCCGTCAATTTCATTCATGATTCGATGCCATGATCTGCAAATATCTGTAAAGCATCTTCAAGCAGTGCTATTAGATCAGCCCATCTCGTCGCTTGTCACGGTCCCTCCCATCTTGCATCCGTGGTTGGACTGAACCGTCCGATTCGCCACCCCGAGGGAAACTCTCCAGGACACTCTGTCGGGGTCGCCGTTATCATGTTATCAGCTCTAGGCTATTCGCGGGGCTCAGTCTGCTTCCCTTATCGTCCTGTAGCCGGCGCTGTCACGACGAATACCTGTTGGCTTCTCGTTTCTCGAAAGTCGACCATTCTTATGGCTTGCTTCGTAGATAAGCCGATACGTCCACAAGGAGTTATCGCATGTTCCCTTACTCTCATGCTCTCGCTTGCTAACTCCTGTTCGGATTCTCCGAACTCCGTCGCGTCCCACCCGAGGTACGGCCGAGAACAAAATGTCGGGTCTGTGCCACCGCCACAGCTGGCCTCTCACCAATGCGGAGTATTAATATGGAGTATTTTCAGTGGTATGAGGTATGTGTGCCAGCCTGCCATTCGTCAATGATTCCAGCTGCCTAGCCAGCTAGGAGGCTTGTGCGCAAGGGCTAGACTGAATCTCAGCCTTACGGCTAAATAGACGGCATCTTTCTTCGTCTCGTAACGGGGCACGGGGGATCTCGGCGTTACTCATAGGTCCTTGGCCCTCGCCTATCAATGCTAGCAATGTCAAAGACAAGTAATTAACCAACCGAGTAAACCGGTATACCGCTAAATCTCAGCAACCAACAGTCTGCTCAATCTATTGGTATGAAAGAGAGGATGGAGAGAAAAGACTGCTCAATCAGCCAAAAAACGAGAAAAAGAAAAAGAATATGGACAATCAATGCTTGTGGTGGAATCGAACCATCGAGTATCACAGTTCTCCGATAGACGAGACCACGGGAAGCACACAGAGAAGCATATCGGGGATATCCATTACAACTTGCTGGCCATCATCTCCGTTCCCTAGGCAATTCCCAGTGGTGGCACCATCCCTTGTTCTTCCTTCCTCTCGGCGCCTACCTTGTAGGACACTCTAAACCGAATCTTGACCGAATTACCCTTGCCTGTATCGACTCCATCTAGTAACATCTCCTGCTGGACGCCGTTCTGCTGCAGCGGTCCGATATCACGTCCAGACTGCGGCCGGAGCTGCAATGTATAAGACTGTAGCGCTTTTAGCATGGCTTCGTTCTGGATCGTAGGTGATAAAACTAACCTTCTCTACGGCCACCTGAAAGTGCAGCTCGTTCAGCGGTTGGCCGGTGGTGTTCGAGAACAGGGCTACCACGTGGATCTGCCGGGGCTGGCTGGGATGCCGCCGTGCAACGAACTCGATCCGTAAAGACGAGTTCAACACTTGCACCTTATTAGTAGTTGGAAGGGCGTTGCTTTCCGGCAGCGAGGAAGCAAAGTTCCACTCGTCATCTTCTTGTGTCTTGGCGCTACTACCACTGGTAGCTGCGGTGTTAGGAGGACCAGCTCCCACCAAGTCGAGGAGAGACGAAGAAGCAGCCGCGGGTGACTGAGTCGAAGAAGCTCCGGACGGGAAGGGACTGGAGGTCCGAGGGCTTGCGGACACAAGAGCTGCAAAAGGATCGCTCGCAGGGGGCGGCGGTGTCGGGGTCGCAGTTGGTTGCTGCGGTGGCCGGTGAGCCGGAGAGGAAGACTGCGAGACCGGTCGGGGTGAATTGAACGATGCCATGATATCGTAGGAAGGCTTGAATCCTGCAGGGGCTTGTTGTAGCGGTGGGTTGGCAGACGTAGCCATGTTTCCTATGTCCATTCGTCAGTCGTCAAATCTTACACCATCCTGTTCCTCAACAACACTAACCAGGTCCCAACGAGATACTTCCAGCGGGGACTGGCTCCTCTATTGACAAGCCAAGCAGGTCATTCTCCAAGGAGCTACCCCCGGCCGCTAGCGGGGCATTGCCGTTCGAGCTCGGCTCCGGGTCGAAGTCGATTAAGGAGAGTTCGTTATTTGCGTTCTTCGACACCCCGGTCGTAGTACCTAGAGTACCCTTGGGAATCTTGGATGCCGCATCGTAGTCACCCTTCTTAACCAACTTGTAGCGTTCAATGGTGCGGTGAATGCTGTCATTGATTTCCAGCAGTTTATGGACAGCTTCTGGGTCATCTGACTCTTCCTCGCACATCTTCTGAATCTTCGGATGAGCACTTTGAAGTGCGCTTGCAAGTTCCTGTTCGAATTAGCTGCCGCAAACGTTCAGAGTCGCCCATGCGCGATCCTCACCTCAAACACGTCGCCTTCGGCAACCCGATCGCCCGGCTTGTGGCTCTGTAGCATCTCCTCCAGAATCTTGGCCTTCTGCTGCACCTTGGCCACTTCCTCCGCTGCCTTGGCCCGGTAGTCGGTCTTGTGTCTTGTGTCGAAACCGGCCATCACTTTCATCAACCGATTGGCTTCCTGCAGGTCTGCTGGCGTGCCTCGGCGGATCAACTCTTGCAGCTTCGCTGACTGTGCTTCCCGCTCTTCCTCCTCCATCTCCTCAGCCGAACGCAGATTCTGTTGTCCATCAAATGTCAGCCCTACTAAAGTCACCATACGCGGAAACCGGCAAGGTAGGGACGTACGTCGCTTGGGTTCAGGACAGCGGCATCCTCATGACGGATTTCCGGAAACATGTAGCCTTTGTATAAGAGCAGGCGATGCATGTCGCGAATATGGCCCAGATCCTCCTTGTACCTCGACGTCTGGCAAATAGTCTGCCGCCATTCTTCGATCGACTCCAGGATCCGGTGCTGCACCCGGGAGGGCCGCATTGGCGGTCTTTCCGGGAAACGACGAACCAACTCATTGAGAAACTCCTTGGTACTGATTTGGAGGTGGAACGGATAACCGCAATTTTTGACGCAGATGTCGAGAAGCTGTTCACAAGCAACCGTGGTCAGCCCCGCACCAGCTCCCCTGTCCGCCAGCCAACGAAACCACCTACCGCTAACGCCAGCAATGCGACATTTTGATTTCGGGAATTAATCAGGCGGACAATCTCCATTGCTGCCTCTCGAGGACTGTAACTGATAAGAATGCGCCTCGTACGTGTGAATCAGGATTCCGACCGGCGACTCACGCATTGCCTTTTTTGGAGTTGATCAGGTCCGCAACCTCGAGGTTCAGGGCAAGGTTGGGCTCGTAGAGAGAAAAATCACAGGCATTTCCTATCGATCATCATGAGTCAGTTCAGACAGCTCCTGCCATGAAGTACGATTCGAGACGTACGAATGGCTCGTTGCAGCGGTGTGAGCCCGACATCAGCGTAGGCACCATAGCGGTCCCTAGCTGCCATACGTGCCGATGCTGCCTCCAGGATGACGACTGAAGAAGGAAGAGGACGAAAAGTAGAAGGGGGCAGCGCCAAGTTCAAGTAGTAGCCAAGCTGGACACGCTGTCACAGACGACAACAGCTAGCTAGAAGGTGTTTGATGAATTGGAAACCGACAATTCTTGACTGCCTGGTGCTGGCTGACGATGGAGACAGGGTGCGGCACCTATGATTGTTAGTTCGGCGGGCGGAGCTCCACGTGTGGCGCCCTCATCGGCATCTTGCCTCCGTTGGTAGAATTTCTCAATCACGTTTCCTACATTCATCACTTTTACTTCCGCATACTGATTTTTGACGATCTATTCTTACATTACTATTGAACAAGCCATCGCAGATAATGGTCCGTCACAAGAAAGACAACTTCGCACGAGGAGGCAAGAAATTCTCCTCCAACCCCCGCCCACGCCCAGTACCCCGCGATGACGACGATGGTTCGGCTACAAACAGGCCTGCCTTCAAAGCCGCCTGCTGGGATTTAGGACACTGCGATCCGAAGCGATGCTCTGGAAAGAGACTGATGCACTTTGGGTTGATGCGAGAACTGGCAATCGGTCAGAAGTTTGCCGGGGTGGTGATCTCGTAGGTTTCTTTTCTTCCTCGCCTCCATGTACGGCGAAACTAACAGGCAGCTATTAGGCCAAATGCAAAGAAGATTCTCTCCCCGGCCGATCGCGAATTATTAGAGCAATTCGGAGCTGCCGTGGTAGAGTGTTCCTGGGTGAGGGTCAAGGAAGTCCCTTGGTCGCGAATCGGCGGTAGATGCGAAAGACTGTGTAAGTGTTTTTGTCTTTAGTTCGCGACTACGCTTCTTGCAGGGCCAAACGAGCTGATGATTTCTTCATCTACAGTACCATATCTCATTGCAGCCAACACAGTGAATTATGGACGGCCCTGGCGGTTAAACTGCGTCGAAGCGTTAGCAGCCTGCTTCTGCATCTGTGGGCATGAAGACTGGGCGCGAGAGGTCCTCAAGCACTTCAACTACGGCGAAGCCTTCCTCGAGATCAATTCGGCCCTGCTCAAACGATACGCTGCCTGTGCGACGGAGGAGGACATCAAGAAAGCGGAGGAAGAGTGGTTGGCCAAGATTGAGCGGGAGTACGAGGAGAATCGCGCTGAGGGCGGTGCCGACGATATGTGGACGGTAGGAAATACAAACAGACGAGCTGCACCGGCCGAATCAGACGCAGAAGAGGACGAGGACGAGGACGGGGACGAGGACGAGGATGATGATGATGAAGAAGCAGCGGAGGAAGAACGAGACCCGTACGCCATCTCAGACGACTCTGAAGACGAAGCCCAAATGGCCGAGATCCGTGCCAAAATCCTCAACTCGAAATCGTTCCAGAACCCTTCCGTCCCGGACAAGCCCCAACCCGAGAAGATCGCTCGGCCGGATCCGACGCCTGTGGAAGATTCAGATGCCGAGTCCGGATCAGCTGCTAGCGACGAGGAGGAATTCGATAAGATCATCAACGCGACGCCTGTGACAGATCGAACGGGCATCATTGCCGCGTCGCAGCGCAAGGGCAAAGAGACGTTCAGTGCGTCGTTCTCTCGGACGGTCATTAATGCCCCACAGAGATGGTAGATTGCATGCTCCATTACTATCTCAATCTCGTCCGCTACAGTCCAGTGGCATCAATTCCTGGTAATCATGCTATCTGTTCCACTGGACTTCCCGTCTCGTCGAAGAGAGCCCTGGCCTCTCAATGTCACAGTAGTGACTAGTCAGTACCCGAATCGGGCGTATCTGGCCTGGGGATTAGTGAAATGGCACTCTGATATCCGCAGCAGCTTCAGGTCTATCTGGACCAAACGCGCTCAGGTCATGGTCACCACGACGGTTTTTTAAAAGGATCTAAGTTGACTCTGCTTTAACGTGCCGAAAATCGTGCATGAAGCCCGCAATGTCACGTCATGACAAAAGTTTCTATTATGACCTTGAAACAGTAGATCGATGATGATATACTTAGGTATCATTTAGCTTGATACTACGACCGTGAAACCATATACAAATGCATCTGCATATCTGCCACCTCCTTGCAGGGTCTCCTAGTTGGTGAACTAGACTATGCAAGAGACAAGCAGTTTACAGACCGAGGCTTCCATATACTGAAGACATACTCCATCGCAAGTGGAATCAAACAAGCAATGAAGACAATGACGACATGGATATTGTAGGAATCAGCAATCAGCAGGCACTCGCCTTTTTCGTTTTTCTCCCATGCAAACCGAGTGAAGACAGCGTCCATTAAGTGTAACTTATTTACATGACATAGAGAAGGTTCGTATCTGTGTATCATTATTTCTGTTAGAGACGTTTCCCTTCTGGATCTGAGACCAAACACAAGGACTACTGCTTACCCAATGGATGACTGCAGCTCAGCTGCGGTTTCTGCGAGTACTTGGTCGCCAACTCGTCCCGGATACTGTTCAGTAACTGTACATAGCTCTGCTGGGGGTTCTTCCGGAGAGCGGTGATGAACGCCCAGGACATGGCGCCGGTGGCCTGGCCGGCGATCTGGGCGTCCTGGCTGGTCTGGCTGTCCTTGCTGCCGGACCACATGATGACGTCCGCCGGGCTGGTCTTTGTCTGCTTGGATCGCTCGTAGGCCTCGTCGCCCTTGGTGGCGCGTTTCAGGAACCCGACCGCGGTAGACATCATGCCGCCCATGTCGCCGCGCGCGTAGGCTGAGACCACCCCCAGCAGCCCTTGTCCAGCCTCCTTGGCCAGGTTGGGCTCCTTGAGGATACCCTGTGTCGAGTAGATGTAGGGGAGGTCCAAGGCGGAGCCCGAGTGACACGAGTCGAAGATTGCGGTCAAGCGTACTCCCGGACGTAGTGGGCGGACCATGATCCGGTGCATCTCGTCGTCCACAATGTGGCCGGCTTGGCGAAAGTCGACCGGGTAGATGACTTCATCGTATCCGTCTTCCTCGTCGCCATCCAAGTCCGGAGTCTGACCACCATGACCTGTCAGAGACAAGGCATTAGTTTGGTGTCTGAGAAGCACCAGTAGAAGCGTGGTACTCACCTGAGTAATGGAAAAAGAGCGAATCATTCGGCTGCGCATCCTTGACCAACCAATGCATGGCCCGCAGGATGTTAGCCTTCGTAGGCTGGCTCATGGGATTCTGCTGGTCGTCCGTCAATAGCACCATGTCCTCGCGCGCGTAGCCAAAGTTCTGGTTCAAATACGTCGACATGTTCTTGACATCGTTGATACAACCGCGCAGCTGCCCCTTCTGCCCGAAATAGTTGATTCCAATCAGCAAGGCCTTCCGCTTACCGGTGCACCGAGAGTACTGGAAACTGTATCCCTGTGGAGCCCCATGCCCGAACGCGACCGGATCAGTGGGAGGTGGTGCTGGACCACCATGGTGGCCAGGCGAGTAGGGGTTTTGATACTGGTTCATGCCTTTGTTGCAGATGTCAGCGGCCGCATACTGACCCTTTCCAAAGCCGATGCGTCTCTTCCTGCGCCAAAACGCGATCACATACCAGGCTGTCTTCCACTGTACACCGCGTTTCCAGTCGGTGGCGGCGCCTGACCGTATCCCGACGGCGGTTGCTGCATATTAAGTCAGCCACACCTGCAACGTTGTTTTTTTTTTTTTCACAGTGACCGTCACAGATAAAGACATACATTGTATCCATTGTGTGGAGGAGGCGCGCCGTAACCGGGCTGAGGGGAAGGCTGGCCATACCCATAAGGATTCGGAGGAGGATGTTGCTCGCGGTACGCTTGGCCGGGGTAACCGCCGCCGTAGGAAGATTGTTGGTGGTGATGATGCTGCATTTGTCTTTCGAATGGTCAGTCAACGAAACAATCGACTCCAACGAAAGATCAAGAGAGAGATTCTTACTGATAAGGTTGCGGAGAGCCGTAATTAGGAGGATAGGAGTACTGCTGCTGTGGTGGGGGATAGCCCGGCGGGCCAGAATAAGGAGGATAGTAGGACATTCCTGGTGGAGGAGATGCTGCGCGGCACTGGCGAATAGAAAAGTCCACGGGCACGAGGGAGATTAGGCAGCAAGACTGAAGACGTGATGGATGGAGGAGTGCGATGAGACGAATCAGAAGCGGTTCTGGAACGAGAGATGGCGCAGTTCAGCGTTCGGCGGTTGCAGACTTGCAGGAAGTCGATGAGCAAGTCAGACAAGAGATGCAGAGGGTGGTGGAGGCCGCAGCAAAGAACCCGAAAGCTAAGTAAAGATAGAAGATAAAAAGAAGCAGTCGGAGCCAGACAACAAGTGGAGACGACCGACGACGATACAGTGAAGGAACTATGGATCTAGAGATTAATTAGTGACATGAAGACTTACTGCAGAGGCGCCAAAGAGACGATTCCCCTCAGTAATCTCTGGAGAATATCCATACCTATGTTGATGATATTTACTCCAACCACTGTGGTTGTACGACCTTAATAATATCGTAATAATCAGTAACAAACCTCAACTACTTCGAGTTATTCTCATCTCTTTCTTCAGTCACTTGTTTACTTACCTGAGGGGTATTCCTATTCCTCGGCATCCCCGATCTACCCTGACCCAGAACTAATGAACAATGGCTTAGCGCTCAGCCAGCCCCGTCCACCAGCAATTTGTCATGCATATCCTTATTATTATTGTTCAATCAAATCATCATTATTAGCAGAGTTAGACAGTCTAGCTTAGTCTATCCCTTCTCACTGCCACTTATTGTCCGCTTACATCCTTAGACTGGCGAACCCATGAACCATGATCTTCCCTGGCACGGGCAGGCCGACGGGATACCCTCCGTCACTTTCAGCCTTATGATATCTCGACCACTATGCATTGCACAGTGGAATATGATCACGCGCCCACAGTGGTTCACAAAAAAGATGATGCATATCAGATCTGCTGGTGTTTCTTTTCGTTTGGTTTTATTTGACGTCCAATTGTAAGAAAAATACTGTAGCTAAGTTGTAGCACGTGCCATAGCTTCAGCATCCTTCATATATAACCACACAAACTACTATCCACATCAATCACATTTTCAAGGTTGTCTACCATTTCTCGTAGAGGTCACCCTCGAGTCATCGTTTGCTTCACCGTCACCGTCTGGGCATGCCGCGTCCACGTCCTGCTCCAAGGGCGCGCTGGGCAGCTCCGGGAGGCAGACCACGGCCCGGTGCCTGTGCCTGCTGAGATTCTTCGTTCTCTGTTCGCAAGAGAAAGGGATCTTGATCAGTAGGAATTCACATACGAAATAGCCAGAGTCAACTTACTTATTGTCTCGTCTACGCTGAGAATCAAACAGGCAGCTTCGACAGCGGCCTGGATAGCGTTGACCTTGACCAGACTGGGTTCCCACACAAAGGCGGCCATGTTGTCCCGAACACCCTCGTTGTCAAAGTCCACACCAGCCCAGGTATTCTCCTTGCGGTGCTCCACACGCAGTCGGTTCAGAATGTCGGTGGCATCGAAACCAGCGTTGTCGCAGAGTTGACGGGGAATCACTTCGAGCGCCTTGGCAAATGCGCGGATGACAGCCTGCTGCTTGGATGGATCGTTCTGGGCGAAGTCATGCAGGTAATACGACACTGCCATCTCGCAGGCACCACCACCGGCAACGATGGTTGTGTGTCGGAGAGCGCGCTTCACAATCATGATAGCATCGTGCAGACTCCGTTCGACCTCAGCAATGAATTGCTCGGCTCCTCCACGCAGCACGAGCGTGCAGGTCTTGGCACCAGGGCACTCGGAAAAGAGGTTGTAACGTTCACCACCAATCTGGCGCTCTTCGAAAGAGCCACATGTACCCAGGTGACGGTCCTGGATATCGCTGCATGTCGACTGCGTCGCCGCACCGGTCGCTTGGCACACCCGGTCCATGTCGTCCGAAGCAACACGACCCGCACAGAAGATGTCGCGATCAGCAAAGTACCTGTAGACAGCGTAGACATTAGTTAGAGTGCCGTCAACAACGTAGAGTTTGCATTTAAGACGTACTGCGTGGCCAAATCACCAATAGGCAGTTTGCTGAGAACAACCTTGGCGCCGGTCTTGTGGATGGCCTCGAGCTTGTTGTAGATGATCTGCCATTCGGCATCGACAATGGCCTGATACTCAGAAACATGCTCAACTCGGACCTCCGCGTTGTCCTTCTCACTCTTCAACTCGAGCTCCACGTTCAAGCACACGATCTTGGGGTTCTTGAATGACTTGGGCTGCTGCTCAAAACCGGCGTAGGAGAAGGTCTTCTTGAAAGCGACACCGTTGACGAAGAGGGAGTCCTGAAGGCCTCCACCGGTAACCTTCTTGATACCAATCAACTTCTCGTTCAGATCGTCCTGGTCAAGCGACAGCACGGCATCCACGACCACTATATCATCAATGTCAGCCTTCGCTCCACCACGTTTCATTCCGCCAGAGCATCGGATAGAGGAAGAGTAACTTACTCTTGGTGAAAAAGTCCGAGTTACGCTTGATCAGCTTGCTGTTCATTGCTGTACCGGCAAGCCTCCGCAGGGTCTCGTATTTCTTCTCCTCGCTGCCCGCAGCATCGAGGATATCCACCGAAATCTCCTTCACCTTGTTAACGGCCACAGCGCTCGCTTTCCGTAGACCCTTGATGATGGTCTGTGAACTGACGCCTTGCTCCACAAGATCCCGGACTTCCTTCAGAATCTCGCCAGCCAAGATAACCACCGACGTCGTTCCGTCGCCAACTTCGGCATCTTGGGATCGCGCAATATCGGTGAGAATGCGAGCGGCGGGGTGGACGATATCCAGAAGCTGTTGCCAGACGCAATCAGTCATTCTCCTTCAAACAAGTATAAGCACGAGATAGACGGCTCAGAAGAAAACGTACTTTCATTACTGTCGCTCCATCGTTGGTGATTGTCTGCTTGCCGTTGCTGTCAACAAGCAACAGGTCTCCGCCGTACGGTCCGAGAGTGCTCTTGATCGTAGATTGCACTGCGATACAGGCATTGATATTCGAAAGAATCTGGCCCTTTCCTTGAGAGGTATCGGTGCCTGAAAACAAATGCAGAGTCGTCAGTGAGTTCCAGTTCAGACGGACAAATGACGGGGTTCGATGCGGCTACGGACCCTCCTTCAGCACAATGATGGTGGGTGCTTGGCCTGCGAAGGCCATCTTGCTAGGCAATAAAACGTGTGATCGTCAAAAGAGAAAAATAGACAGAGACGAAGAAGTTAGTGATGGCTCAGGGAAAAGTGAAGATCAGTAGTCAGTGTCCTGAGCGATCCCAAGATTGACAGCTCCGGGGTGCTCTCGACCAAAATTTCCCAAAGCTCCTCATCGAAACCCCCCGTCGCCAATCTGAGGCGGTGACCAATCAAAGACTCGCTCCGCAACCCTATGGACTTTGATTGTTATTCTACCCCTCGCCAGATAACATATTACAACAATATCAGTGCGAAAGCGAATAAAGAAAGTATATCATTGTTCCTGAATCTTAGCTTTGCTTTAATCAAGGCTGGTATCACAATGTTCCGATTATATTTACAGGTATCTATTTGATGGTTTGACCACACCGGGTAATAACCTATGCAAGCTTGACCTCCCAAACGCTCCAACGCCAATAGAACCCAGAATAAAAAAGAAACAAGCTCAGCTGAAATCCAACTCATCATCTGGCGGCCCGACATATTCGTACTTCGACAATAAGTCATGATCATGATGAACATCATGTACTTGCGGAGGCACGAGACCGAGCGCCTCCTGGCGTAACACCACAGCAGCATCTGTATCAGAAGCGTCCTCAACCATCATATGGTAGTCATGCGATGTATGATGCCGTACGGCATCTTCAAAGCTCGAGTGGGATAAGCCATGATGGCCGTGCGTGTATGGGTCAGGCATGCCATCATGGGAGTGGTGGCCTAAGGCGTCATGAGGATGGTGACTCAAGCCATCGTGGGAATGGAATCGTGAAAGTTGCTGGTTTATGTCGATGATTTGTGGATCGAGAGGCATAGTTGTATAGTCGGTTATGGAATCTACAGATCCTTGAATGACCGGTGGATGTGTTTGAGCAAACGGATTGTGGCTTTGGTGAGGATCAAGGGAGTTATTGTCCATCAACTGTGTAGTTTCCATGGTGCTCGGTGTCGACAAGCTTGTCTCATTCTCGTGGACGCTCAACCTCTCCATGGATACAGCACCGTCATGAATTAGCATACCGTTACTCTGTGGTAGTTTGAGCGTCTCTTTGCATTGGGGACAGTCTCGAATGACTCGACTGACGGTCTCTTTGATCCTGACCCAGTGATATTTCACCGCGATGGCTGCAGTCGTCTTATTAATTCCTGCGTGCTGCTTGAGATGAATAGTTCGAGCAATCTCGTACTGTTGCTGGGGATCTGATACGACTTCTTTGTCTTTCAGCATCAGCTTATCCGAGTCGCCGTCCTTCCCCTCTATAAGCTTGTAGTGGGTGGCTGCACTTCTCAGCCGACTCTTCTCAGCTCTATCGGCACCTCTAGGGTACTTAGAATGCTTGAGATAGTACCGGATCTTGTCGAAGCGATCTTGCGTGAACGAATCATCGCCTTCAGAACTCAGGTCGCGCCCATAGATAATTGCATCGACATATTCACCGGGACTGGAAAGCACCTTGCCAGCATTTGGCACCTTGCCGATCCGCTTAAAGCCAAGAGCATCCCAAATCCGACAAGAAGCCACGTTGCTCTCGTAAACCAGGTTGAAGACGGCATATGTGTAGCCCTGTTTACAGTCAGACACTTTCGAACCCTCTCCCGGCTCTCCTTGCGACAAATGGGTGATTCTTTCGCAGTCGAACACGACATCACCAATCTGCTCAGGTAGGGATCATACTGACCAGTTTAGGAGCCCATTCAAGATATCCCTCGCCCATCAATCGACCAACACCACGATTGCGCGCCGCATCTGTCACAAGAAACATGCCATTGCAGACATGATTACTACGTCCGGGGTAATTTGGCCGGATA